GGGCCGTGAGGAAACCACCCGCTGCTGTTGAAAATCCCGGCTCGTTCCGCGACCCGATTTCGCAGCACTGCCCCGCGCAGCTCTGCGAGGCAGCGGTGCAGCGGATGGAGTACCCCGGGCCCCAAGTGCCGCTGAGGTTTTGCTGGGAGTACTCCTGAGGTGCCAATTCAGCACCTGGCACAAACACCGCGGAGCGTCTCAGCCGCTTGGTGCTCCACAGAGCTGGTGTGCCAGCCCTAAGCAATCCCTAGCATGTGTTAATGTTTGCTAGGGTCTCGTTCCGAGAGGTCTGCTCGACTTTACGGGTAAGTTGTTCACCTGGGACGTCCCCGTCACCATCTTCCGTTACAAGAACAGCATCTCCTAAGATACTAACCAGAATGCTAACTGCCATGTTGTTGTTATTACTAGCTTTAAACACTGAGTGCTCCCCTGTACTCACACAGAGCGCTGCTGCCTCATGTATTTTACAGTCTTGGGCTTTTTAAGAGCATGTTTGTAGAACTGAAAGTTCATGTTGGGTACAGGCAGTATTGCTCATGTAATAGTATCTCCACATGACAGCAAAAGGGGCAAAGATAAATGTGTAATGTGGGGTGATCTCTCTCACACACGTGTTAAGACGCACATCTAAGGCTTAACAGGATCTAAGCTGCAAGAACAGCAAGTAATCTTCACTTACATATGGAGAAGGCAGTGTAAATAAAAGTGCACCTCCACAGTCAAGAGTATTTTTGGTGGGTAACACATGTACATACAAGTATGTACAAATTCTCATACAGATCAGAATCTACAAGGATTTGTGAGAACTGAAGAGCCATCAGTAAACACAGAAGCACTGACCCTGGCTACAAAACACAAGAGAGCTCCTAATTGGCAGGAAAGCTTACTCTGAGTGTTTCTTTCCTGTTACAGACCTCATTTCTATCACCAAAACAAATAATAAAAATTAACCCCCCAGCAACACTGCCGCTGTCATCTCATATTCAACAACACAGACAGTAGTGCATGCAAAATAAAACGAGTCTGCAAACCTCTGGCAAAACAATTAAAAAAGAATAAAATTCCTCCAAGATGGACAGGAAGTAGAATAGCTTTTTCTTTTCAGAAACAGTCACTCCACTACTATAATTGAAATTTCTGCTTAGCAGTACAAGTTTCCTAACACACAAACTACAGATACATACGCTATGCGGCAAGAGTAGCATTTAAATTGTGGGTAGAGAGGCATAAACCACCACCTGAAATTATCCATAGTTTGGACTGAGCTTTGTAAGATCAGGAGTCTGGTGATAACCTGAAAATTGCCTTAAAAAATTACAAATAATTAGGCTTGGATTATACATTTCTACACAGAAGAGATTCAAGAACTGACTTACTGTAGCTTTACTTACTGTAGATCTGAAAAGGTCTATATTTGTTATCCTTGGAGAAGCATGTGCATTACCCACTTTCCATATTTAATACCCAAATACACCCGTTTAACAACTAGTGTACTTTTCACACCCCTTATTTCCCCCTATAACTAGTAGAAATGTGTTCTATCATTTTGTCAACATTTTTATAATATAAAAATACGATGCTGAGAAGCCAGGAATTTATGCAGCAACCCTTTCTATTTGATAGTTTGTTAACTCATTTTGACCTTTCTATAAATGTTTACTATGGCTCACCCACAAGTATTTAGTGAAATTAGACTAAGTCTGAATTCCAAAATACTTACAATTAACATGTCACTGACAGTAGCTCCCTATGATCCATAATCAGTTTCTTCCACTCCGAAGATCAAATTCACATCCATTTACAAAATACCTTTAGGAAAATCTGTTGATTCAGAGGATTCACACAGTATGCAACTAAATGCTTTCAGACAGAACAAGTTATGTTCAAATTGTACTGGTTTATTTACAACTGTAGTTTATAAACAGTAACACAAACATCTTTACATGAAAAAAATCTCATTGCTGAAGTAGGCACAGAGTCAGAGACTCTTCAGGAAATTGTCAGAAGGGAGTAGGAAGAGGAAAATGTAATACAACAGCTGCTGGGCAAAACTATAAATACGTGAGCACTGCCCCAGGTGCAATTTCATGCAAATATCTTCAACAGTTCAAATTCTATTGGTGTTTACTCAGATACTAAGAAGGAAAAAAAAAAAAAAATAAAGAAAAGGAATTAGTCCCAGAATTAAGGTGCCCCAGCTTGATTCCTAGTAAAATAACTTAGAATAACTGTTTTTTATAAAGGTCAGTTTCATTTATTTTACCTCCTGATGATGCACCAATTCACAGGTTTTCGTTTTGGTAATTTCTACAGCAGCCTCCAAGGATGCTATGCCTCGGCCATAAGGACATTCCTGTACTGAGCTTATTTAACAAGAGAACAGTTCTTGGAACAAGTGGAAAGCTGCCGATAAGCAATCACGCACTTGACATCTGTCAAACGTTTACTTGTTTAGATGATGTTATTTAAAAGGATAGAAACAAATGCTTGAAACAATGAAGGCAACAGGTAATGAATACGTTTATTACAGGTATATAGTGCTTCCATCTCTTCACTTTATTTGTATGTGTTCATTTTCTTGCTGAACACACCTTCAATCAGCACATACTTCTGTGCTGAACTGAAGGTTGTTAAAGGTCTAATTATTATTTTAGACATTTTGTTTCTGAGGAGCAAGTAACTTATTTTCAACTGCCGCATTCTGTCAAGAAGCATTAACTTCCATTCAGTGCACACATGCATCTTTACAAGAGAAACAGCTTCAACCTATGAAACATAAAATTTTGCATAATTTAAAAAAATCACAACCTGTAGTAAAAGCTCATTGTGCACAGTTCGTTTTAGGATTTAAAAATACCCTACTGCCATGTCAAACTATTTAACCTAGTAGTGGGTAAGACACTTAAAAAATGTTAATTTTACAAATTGCTTGCATTTTTTCCATTTATCTGCAGCCCATGCTGAACTTAACCATTTCTAATGAGAAGGATCCTGTAGTGCTCGGATCTTTATCTGTTTTGCTTATAAACCTAAGTATCAATCAGTCCTTGATACTACCCAGTAGGCAAAATCAGATTTATATACTGTATGTAATAGAGACATTTTACTTTCAAGCTACAGTAATTTAAAATCCATTCTGTTTTCAACTGCTTCTCCGTATGTGGCAGTGCTTCTTCTCTTTAACACACTTAATGCAAGCCTAGCTACATCTTCCCTTGCAAAGATGCAGATGATTCACATTAAGACTGCATTCAAAATGAAACAAACTGACCTTTATAATAAACATTTCTTCAAAACAAAAGCAATATAATTAAAAAATTAAAAATCCTGTTCAGAAGTTGATAATAATTTACCCTATCTTAAGCCTGATATTCAGGCACTCCCATCAGCAAACAGAAAAATTCTCTTAAGTTAGTATTCAGTTGGGAAACAGTCAGCTTGTGTCCACATACAGTATCTTGGTTGCTTCTTTATAAACCATTCTCTACAAAGTCTTTAGTTATTAACTCTCCAAGGCATCCAATACTTTCATGATCTGTTGTTTTATGGCTTTGGTAGCATCACCTGCATTTGGAATCAAATACCTTAAAAAACAAAAAATAGAAAAAGCCATCATTAATTCACTATAAAATTCTTGAGTATCAATTCCATAATTCTTGATTTGTTTTTACCTCTGGCACAAACTAGGCGGAAGGAGGAGGGGAATATATTAAAATGAAAAATTACTGAGAAAATAACATTTAATTCCTGTTTATACTATAAAACACTTTCATTTGTGAACTCAGAACTGTTGAGGACTACTTCACAGGCCACCCTGGAAAGGAAAAATTCTTCATTACTTGACAGTAGTATAGATCAGACAGGTTAAGATCTCTACAGATAGCACTGACTGAAGCACAGCAGTCCTTTTATTTTTATTGTAATTCTCATAGATAGCTCTAGATCATTTATTTATGATCCTTTCTCTTCTGGATTTGCTCCAGTCAACAAGGTGGTTATGAAGTAATTCAACAAGCAGCAAAGTTCTCTGCAACCTTTTCATTTATCTGTGTCTGACCTACTACCCAACTAATTTCATTCTAAGTGGCCAACAGGCATAAAACAACTTCCCTAGTTAGCTAGGAAACTCACTTCCCACTTCTTGTGAAACCAGAGCACCCCTGCACACTGTGCTCCCCAAAGAAAAGGATGAGAAAATGTCCAACTGGTGTCAGCAGCTTTGTTAGTGCCAAGAAACAACATGCTACATCAGCAGAAAACAAGCCCTATATACCCATCCCTCTAACTTCCCCCAACTTGAGCACAAAAATGCTGCACATGGCAATACCTAGCTTTAAGGAACCAGGTTTCAGGGGTTCAGAGTTTTTAGGTTAGGCTTCTGGACTCCTTGTGCAATGCATAGGAAGAGCCTGATGTCCCAAAAAAGATAAAAAGATAACACAGAAGAAACACCACTTTCTTAAATGCCACGCTTCACAAATCCACACTTCTGGCTGCAGTGTTGTCCACTTTGTTTTCATTTAAGACATACAACAGAAAACCAAACCAATTGCACACATCCCATCCCCAGCTATTGTCATTGCAGACCATGGAGTTCCTCTTTGCTGAGTCTTGTAAACTCTCCTCATTCTGCTGACTTTTTCTAATTCATATCTGAATTATCTATTCCTAAATAAAAATGATCACTTTTCAACTCAATTCTGGGAATTACAGCATGCCCCTGATTTCTAGTTGAAAGTGTTCTGGTTATTGTTATAACTTACATCTCTGCTACTGAAATGGCTTACCTTTCAACTGCCAAAATTTCTATGCCCGAAGTATTGCTATTTCCATATTTAAAGGTGATCAGTTCTGGGTGTTTCTTCTTGGATGTGATTTTGACTACAGAGTTGAGTGCTTGTCGAGACTGTATATAAGCCAGTCCTTTTCGTGATGGAATCTCTCTCAAACAGTACATATGTGTTGCCGTTACTAGGAGATGACTTGAAGGAAAAGAAAAATACATATTAAATTTACTAATGAACTAAATATCAGCTATTTAGAAAGCTGAATTCTACAAATAAGCTACTTAGAGAGTTAGATAGTTCTTAAATCTGACCATGACCGAGAGAAAGTCCATCATAATTTTCTGTTATCCAGATTCAACAGAGTTTGTACTATTTGGGGAAGCCAAAATACAGCATGTTCTGCTCTTGCAGGATTAACAAGGTCACTGAATCTTAGGGGCAAGATGGGTGCATAGTACAAGGCACAGACAAGTAGACAAGAAAAAAATACCGGAGCCACAGGTACTTGGATCTCCCTGGTCTTTGAAAAATAAAAGCCTATGTATATTGAGGATACTTTTCTTACTATCTTGTTTTAAAAAGCAAGACTTCATACAAGGTTTTGTACATAATCACCATTCTGTAACACTGCAAATATAAGAATGCAAATACAGTGGTAGCATTTTGTTCTAGGTTGTTTCACACCTTCATTTCCTAGTTTAATACAAAGAGTAACTTAACTTGTTGATTTATTTTTTTTTAATACATATCAAGACAGACATTTGGATGAAGCTTAGGACTAATTCCAGTACCTGGGAAACATATGCCCATTTTCTTTTACTTCATTACAAGGGAAGTTATACTTCACATCAGGTTTATTTATCCATGTTTGGATGTTGACGACCTCTTTTCGATCGTCATCTGACATTGAAGAGCTATCAATTTCATCTGTTTTGAAGGGAAGGGGTAAAAGTAAAAAATAAAAACATAAATTAAAATATTTTCACACAACATCAGACAATTTTTCAACTCACTTAAACCCACAGTAGCTACACTGGTTCAAGCCAAGGCCCACCTAGCCATAAACAATTGTTCAGAGGGAAGAAGGAAAAGTGTATACATATCTGATATTTCTCTTTTAATTCTCTGTCAGCAGACAACTATTTTCAACTCAGGGGATATCTTAGACTTGTAGTCATGTAAACTTTTTTCATCTACAACCCAAGAGATTTTGGCAAGGAGTACCAAAACCATGTCAACTACATGGGTGTGTAGTACTCAGATTTCTACACTTCGTTAAACTATTTATTTCAAAGCAACTCAGAATTAAAGCCACACTTTTCAAAAGGTTTTCACCAGAAAAATATATTATGAAATTGAAATGAATGGAACAAAGCCCATCCTCATTTTGCGGAATCACAGAATGGTTGTGGATGGAAGGGACCTCTGGCAGTCACTTGGTCAAACTCTCCTACTCAAGCAGGACCACGTAGAGCAGGTTGCAGTTTTTATAGCAGATTGCAGTTTTTATAGCAGATTGCAATTATTTACTACAAAAAAACCCACTAAACTTCACAATTATACAGAAACAGGCTCACTTTTTGCATCCTTCTGTACCAAAATAACATGAACTTTACTTCATATACATTGGTTTTGCTTATTCAAATCACTGCAGTGATTCTGCATACTTACCAATAGTGCTTTTACAAGCAAATGTAAATAGAAATTCACAAACAACTATTACTGAAAACATGTTCTAGACAGGTCTTTGTGGACCTGGTTTTCTGAATCCACATAGAGTTTGCCAAACACTATTATGGATACTCAAAGAACTGTGCAAACTTAATTACATGGCATTTGGAGAAGTATCTCATTAGCGTTAAAGCTTCTGCCTGATAGTTTCATTTTGCTCCTTCCCAATTCTGACAGCAGACAAAGATCAACTGTTTGTCATCACTCTTATTTAAACAGCTCCAGATCCTATGAATCTCTCTCATTAATCTTCCTGAACTATTTCTTTTGCAAGTCAAAGATTCTTAGTCTTGTTGTTTGTTTCTGGCATGGAAGCTGCGTATGCCTTTTGGGCACGGAACAGTTACTTGTGAGGTGATGATGGTTGGGAGTGAGCTGACGCTAACAGAACAAACCAGGACAGCGCTAGGTCTGCGCCATTCTAACATTAGCACTGGTGTCAAAAAAAACCCCCTCTTTGTGAAAAGTGTGAAATTCCTGTTTTGTCTGTGATTTTTAACCTACATTAAAAAAAAAAAAATAAAAAAAACCTGCCTGTTTTCCCCCAGCATTTTACATGCATATCAAGAGATGAATCAATTATTAATAGATTCAGTGCTAAAAAGCAAAGTTAAAAACACTGGAGAGGCATGCACACATTAGCCATCTTAAGTCTAGCTCCAACTATACTTTCAGAAATTCAGATTTCATACTGATTGCCAATACTAGAGATTCAACCTCAGATCTATCAGCTAAACTAGGTCTTTCACATTTTCCTTGCTGTCATGAGTAACAGAGGTACAATTACATGTTTACATGTACAAGACCAGTGTACAAATCAGATCTTTACGACAGAAATAACAAGAGAACACAAACAATATGCTAAACCATCTATTTCCATTTCTTCCTGTTGGCTGTTTGGTGCCTACCACAAAATATTTTTACTTAGTCAGTTACTATGTATTTGAAGAGGGTGTGTGTTTATTGGTTGGCCCTAGGCATGACCATAACAAACAGAACCCATGATGACAGCTAGAAAAATGTCAAGTTGTAAGAAAAGTTGTAAAATGCTCTCTTATCTCTCAAATTTAGTAATTTTGTCTAAATAAGCTATTCTAGGTAAAAGGAAAATCTTCTACTGTACCAGTATCATATTCTTCTTCATCTCCGATGCTGAATACTGGTTTCACACCACGGTAGGGTTTTCCTACTCTGTCACTGCTGCTTACATGTCTGTTGGCAATGAAAAGGGCAGGAGAGGACATGGGGTGAGAGAAGAAAAGCAAGTTGCAAACTGATGGTATGACACTTACAACATCATATTAGCAAAATGTAAATACAACCGTGCAACTGAGAAGGACGAGAGGATTTTGTGAAGCTGCCTGCAAGGAAGCTGTGGCTGACCCAACAAGCGATTTGGTTAGTGAAAGCATGTATTTCAGTTACTTGGCAAGGCTGACTGTTGTAACAAATAACATGAAAATAAATAGTTTTTTTGGTTAAAACAAACAAACCAAACAACCAAAACAACCCCCCCAAAACTCAACTATCTGACAAAATACATTAGAGACCTTAAAACTGACAACATGCTATGAAGTTTCTAGCATGAAACTGAAATATTTCTGGACAGTCAGGACAACTTTACAAGGATGCCAAATTGGGATGGAGGGAAAAATGAAGACTATTAATTAACATGTCTGGGAGCTCATTTTTCTGGTTAATTCCTCAGAAGATAATAAAATACTTTAAGCACTTCAAGGTGGGGTTATCATAAAACATCCACTGTAGTGTGAATTCTGATTTCCTGTCCATTACTTTTGCCAGCATGTGCCAAATGTACCACTGGTATTTCTGCATACATATTGACCTCAAAAGTCACATTTAAATCTATTTCTTTAAATCGTATTAAATGACACAAACACACAACTGAGTCTCAGTGTTTGTCAGTAACAGTTGCAAAGCTTGAGATACTTTAATGCTTCTGCTCAGAGTGCTGTGATTACATGGTCACAGCTGTCAGGTTAAAAGTTCTGGCCCTCAACTGCTGGGAATACCTGAAAAATACGAGAAAACCTAAAGGTTCAGAGAGCCATAAACCAGGCAATTGCTGAAAAAAATAAAGAATTGCTAAAGGCAATTTAGCCTCTAGAACTGGCAACAAACATGTAGCAGTTTAAAAAGAAAAAAAAACAAACCAAACCACATCTGTCCCTTTCTCCCATTTCAATTGCTATAACCTTCTGCCCCATAATGCTTATTCATATTTCCTATAAACTACAAGCCCTAGTTCCTGTTTTAAGTATATTCAAAAACCTCCAGTTTACATGCTACTGTAGAACTACCAAGTTGGAGAAGTGACCTCTGTAGTAATATATAAATGAATCTTAATACTTATGTATACCTGAGAGCATATTTGAAAGATAAGAAAGAAATCTTCGTGTTTGCTAATATAGACAAAACCAAGGAAATGTTTAATAGGAGAAAAAAAGCCCCATCCAAACCCAAAACAGAAATGCATTCTACAGTGAAACAGAAAATAAACATACAAAACCATGCTCATTAGTATTTAAGACAATAAGCATCAATGACACTGACAATTCAAAAGGGCAGTGCTCCTATATGGAGGCTTTTGTAGATATGCTTTAGTAATACATAATGAGTTAAGTAAGAAGCACAACTAAATAGTGTTTAATTGAATTACAGAGAGAGGATTTAAGAGAAGATCTTATTGGTGTTTATAGGTCAATGTTAATCAAGAGAAAGTAAAAAGCTATTTTATAAAAATCTGGTAACATTTTAAAACTAGAAATGGATTTCCTTTAACCTGTTTACATGGAAGGCCATCATTACCTTGTTATAAATTGAATGCAACTCCTTTTAGTGGCAAACCTTCAAAATGAAATATATTAGTGATAAACACAAGGTGGATCTAATTGAATGGATGGGAAAAGAATACCATTCCATGTTTTTAAAAGCTTCAGATTTTAAGAGAACAGTCTAGTGGTCCATAGTGTGAGCAAATTTATTACTGCATCCTCCCAAGGAAAGAAGATAAGCTATGTGACTGAAAGTAGCAAGTAAAATAACTGAAGTAAAATCTCAGTATATCAAAACTTCTTGGTTACAGATACAGATTCAAGTGTCTTTCACCTATAGAATACAGTCACCAAGTGTTTTAAGTTGGAATTTTAAGACTTTCTTACCATATTCTAAAAATTGATCAACAAAATGTACGAAGAAATCCACATAATCTTTAGGATTTCTAAATTAACAAAATGTATTATGTGATACTGGGATATTCCCACTTTTCTTAAGAATACTGTCTAACATTATTGTTGGTTTTGCTCACACAACACTATTCTGTAATGCATATGGGTAAATCCTATGTCAAATTATGTGCAAACTACTTGAAAGAATTGGTCCAAAACCCTTGAAAACTCAACATTTAAAACCGGTCTTCATGCTTTTCAGTCTATGACAGTCAAAAGCTAAGTAATTTTATATAACCTCAATTCACAACTTTTATTTCTGAAATAATTATAAGGCAATAAATCTGAGGTGAATGTGAAGGGACACCGCATTTGTGTGAAAACGCAGTAGTTAACGTGAACAAGGTGAGGGAGAGTTGCAAGGCATATTTATTTATTAACTCAGCATTTTTATTTTCCCAGTAATGTGCACCTCTGTTTCTATCAGCATGTTCTATCACTATGTGATGAGAACCATATAATTTTAAGATTTCCAGACAGAATTTACGTATGGGTTCCCCGTTATAGCTAAACTTTGATGATGCTTTATGAACAGTTTATAGCAAGTCTTCTTCATGTTAAGACCTTAAGCCATAATTTGTTCAACAATTGCTCCTGGTGTCACTACCAAATACAAGTCACTAACAAAATATATACAGGAAATAACAGCTAAACAAAAAAAATCCATAAAAAGCAATAGAAAGGAATAGAAATAACAAAGCAGAAACTAAGAGAAGAAAGCACTGCCAATACGTTGGTTTTCTTCCTCTAGTCCCCTGACCAGTACTTGTAAAAACTGATACCTTTAATATATTCAAACCCCCTAAATTAATATAAAAATATGTGAACAATTTTGTCAGTGTAACCAATGCTTACAAATATTGTGATGCCATGCTAAGTACAACAAAGGTGGTTTTAGTCATACTGCTTAATTATCAAGCTTACCGCTCCAGGCTTGCTCTGTCTGGCCAGGGAATATTGAAAGGTATTCTACAGTACATTGGGGCAGAGGACACAACAGAAGAATTAAAATTAAAAAAAAAAAAAGAAATTAAAAAATAAAGGAAGAATCTGGATAAATAATTGAAAGGCGCTACATTGGTGATGTGTCTTCTTCAATGAGGATGCTTATAAATAAAAGCTTTATGACAGTTAGCCACGAGGTTGAGAAGCATCTGTAAAAGGTTCTACTAAAAGATGCATTCTTCATGCTATGTATGGCTTACATATAAGCCTTACTTGAATTCTTCACACACCAAAAACTACTACTGAGTGCTATTTAAGAATGTTTTGCCTCTAGCTGTAGAATAATAATTTAAAAAAGTAATTTCCAACACAAAAAGAAGCAACGATCTGTACCTACACTAGCTCTTCAAGATTCTTGAATACCAATGTCTTAGCAACATAAAACTCGAAAGGCTGCATTTTAAAGAACTCTAAAACAGGCTATTCAATTAAAGCTTTGTCAGATGAAAGCTGTTATTCTTTTAAGTATTTGGAATTATGACTTGAACTTTGAGAGTGTCTTTTAACATGCTTGCACATTCTTCTTCCCAGCTTTATTTGAAGATACAAGAAATGAACAAGAGCGGATTCTGGGTTTGAAAAGCGGCTTTACATCAGGACTTAAAAAAAAAAAAATAAATCAAGATCTTCAAAAAAGTTAACTGCAACTTGACAAGATGGGGCAGTAAAAAAAACCCGAAACAAAACAAACCCAACCAACCAAAAAAAACCCATCCAGAATCCTTCTGTTATTCACCCCTTAGAGTCAGGATGGAGAAGAACTTAAATGAAAGTGAAATCATTCTTGATTTTTAGACCTAATACAGAACTGACACATTGTAAGAAGTCAAACTAACCATGCAGTAACAAATTCCAGATACACGTTTAAAAGAAAAGGCTGCTTACAATGGCCTTTCAATAGTAAGGCAGCACAGTAGGCTTACTGTGTCATGATAAAATTGTGAGAAGGATAGGAAATCTAAAAGCTGAAACTGGAAGATAACTTTTTTTCCTGATTAGCACAGTCTTCACATTTACAAATTAGCCACCTGAAACAGGAAGCCATTCCCCATTGCTAATTCACAGTGAGATATAAATGACATACCTGTCCACTGGAGTAGATGTATTTTCAATAAAACTAATAACTTTTTCTTTCACATTCACAGATTTAGTCTTTAAAGCAACCGTCATTTTATTCACCAGGGACTTTACTCCTTTTCCATCACTTGAACCATTAGGAGAATCACCCTGTAAAAGTAACTCTTCTCAGATAATCATATAGAAATAATAATACATCATCTCTAGTTTGTTAAGAAAGGAAACAGACTATAAAATAGTAATCGACATTCTGGTACTGAGTACAACATTAATTACAGCATTAAGTATTATTTTAGAGTTCTATCAAATGACAGCAATGATATGTGTCTGAGCTAAAGATGATCCAATAAAGCAAGCTTAACAAACCTTTCTACTAAGCACTCTGCTACAAAAATCTAGAGAGGAAGGAATTCTATTAATGATAAATTTTATCCAAATTAAAAGCCAAATTCTACATACAACATATCAGCTGTAGAAAAGAGACAATTTTGAGCTTTCTCATGAAACTGTATGCTAGTTTTATAGTAATATATTCCCAGAGTGAAGAGGAGACAGGAAAAAGAATTGTCCATTACATACATTCTGCTGTATAATGACTACAGCAAGCTCTTCCTCTCAACAGTATAAAAATGTTTAGGCCACCTCCAGCTAGACAGTGAATATAGTTTGAAATTAAATACATAACTGAAAACAATCATGACTCGCAGCAACCTATTTTACAGAACAAAATGAGGAATATAAAAAAATTCAGTACACTCAGGGCTCCCATCCCACTATACCACTTAAGCTTAAAATTCACTTACATCAACAGAGGAGTTTATACTACTTCTTGAGCCTGAGGTACTAGCAATCCAGTGGCCATATCCATTTTCGGGTCCTTCCACATTGATATCTGCTAAGTGCTGCTGAAGGGCTGTTAAAAGACCATTAAAAAAACATTCAGAACTACACTGGAACTAGTCTGTTGATGAAAATGCTGTATATCCAAGACTAATCAGTAGCAATTTTTGCTTCACATGATTTCATAAAACAGATAAATCCAGATCCTACTATAATCATCCCTGAGTTTTCTTTCAGTAGTAAAATGGCATTAGGATAATCTTTATTTTAGTAAAGAAAACAGTTAAAATACAGCAGCAACTAAAAATGAATCACTGCTTTGATCCTAAAAATAGCTGTTACGACACTGCACATATTGTCTAGTAATGTCTAGTAATGTCTAGTAAATATATAAAATACTTGTACTGTAGCACAAATCTCTCTACCTTTATAGAACCGGATTGAGTCCAGAAACATAAACTGCAGAATTATGAACTAATGGTTTAAGAAAAAAACAAGTTAATAGCAATTATCAAGTAGTATCTTCATACAGATCTGCAATCTATAGAGACTAAATACCAAGAATGAGAAGTTAGATGAATGAGGGCATTTCTCCACATCCTGTATTACATTTTTTAGCATTCAGAAAAGTGGGCAAGCCGTAACAGTTAACCACAAATTTGCAAGTAAAGTGTTGATTTGCACAAAGCAAAAAACTGACAAATGAGAACTATTTGTTATTCCTTTAGCTGATTTTTAGCCAAAGCCTAGTAAAAATATCAACATCATTAATATAGCAAGTTTTCTGAAGCCAAAGCTCATTATTAATAAGCTTACCCATAAATCCGCCTTTAGCAATGCTTACATACTCCTTATTTTTCTGCAACAGAAAAGACATTTTTGGTTGAAGCAAACACCTATGGAATGAGTTTTGCAAGCATGGTAATGACACATGGGTTCATTTCATAAAAACTGTAACCTTGAGTAAAGTAAAAACACTTAAGATTTTAAGCGGAAAATATTTTGCCATTTAGTATCAATGTTACGTGCAGACATAGAATCATAGGTTAGGGTTGGAAAGGAC